AATATTCATCAATTAAAGTCGTGCTAAATACAGGGCCGCGACCTCAACCAAGCTGGGAGCAACATAGACTCGGTCACTGGTGGTATATGCACATTAGTACGTTTACATACAAGCATATATCGTCGCTGGAATAATGAAATAGTGTAACATGAAAAGTATAGTTTTGAGAAAAACGAATTGGAAGTTTTTATAAACCATTACAAACCATACAAATACAATTTCATTTTTCGGGAATAAATTAGTGAGCCAAAGAGATATTTAAGAAAACTAAAGATTTTTTTAATAGATTAAAGGATTGTCTATCCAATGGTGCAATTATCGAATAATAGTGTATGTGGCATTTACACTGTTTCTTTATTCGAGCGACGATATAGTGTGTTAACAAACGCTGCAGCAGCAATGCTGCAGTTGCTATCGTTGCCAATATATAAATACAATATACGTACTACATATATACATATATGCCTGGTTCTGCAGCTGCTGGTTACTTGCATGTTTTTTGCACTTGTGGACCGGACCACTTGCTCTTATTTATGGCCCGTCTGAATTAATTTTTCTAGCACTTCACAGATGTGCTATGCACACATTATAAGGCACCACTTCTCCAATTGTCCACTTTGCAAGGCGTTTATTTGAATTGGTTTTCCGCTTTATTGCATTCCTTTGCTGCATTATTTATAAAAATTGTAGACAAGAGACATAGGATATCTAAAGCTGAGCAACTATAATGAAAGAATTAAGTAATAATGACTATGAATTAAAGATAATAAAAAAGGAATTTCTGTTGTTTAAGTACCATAATTATACATTAATTAAAAAAAAATACAAGTTCAGATCTTATCTGAATTTTCCGCATGTTTAGAACTGCTCAATTTCTTTGCATTTTACGCTGAAATGGTTCATAAGATTAAGTACACATAATTCAATTTTCCTACTAGGAAGAAAAATACAGGGCCGATGCGAGTAGTAATTCGACCGTTTCGAAACGAACGCAGGTTTCCACATTATTGCAAACAAACTTTGAAAAAAATTGGTAATGATTGGTACAGAAGATTCAAAAGAAAAGGAATAATGTACTTACATGCATATGTTGTCCAGCAAGACAATTCTTGTTCTATGAAATGGTGAAGTGAAAACGAAAAATTCAAACTCAGTAAAAATTTTATTTTTTCAACCTATATCATCACTTTTCATTTAATTTTAAGCGATTCGCGGTAATCAAATGCTATCCTATTAATATCTAGCAAGTAATTATTTGGAAAGTTTTTGTTAATTTGAGAAAATTATATTCTTTATCTTGTAGATGATGTTTTCGAGCAAAATGCGCAACTTTTCTTTTCACAGCCACAAAAATTGGCAAACAAAATATTTTCACTATGAAAACTTTTATTTTCATTTAAAAACAGATTCTTAATTATATGTAAAGTGGTGGAAAATACATATTTTCACTTCATATTTTCACAGAACAGGAATTGGCCTCAGAGCTGTATAATGATTGAACCATTTGAGTTTTCATTTGCTTTGTAATTTTAACCGACTTCAATAAAAGAAGTAGGCTATCAATAGGTCGGATATATTTTTTTATGCCCTTATTTCTAAGCTTTTGAAGGGATAGGCCTTCCGTGATCGATTCTCTACTACTTTTACTTTTTTATGGAATGACCAAGGCTTTCAAGGCCTTCTGATTCAGCTTCCCTTAGAAGGGAACAATTTTCATAAAATATTAATGAAACAGTTTGAATTTATCTTTCTAGTAGATCTAAGTACTATGATTTTTTTTATTTTTATTTGACTTTTAATAAAAGCTCTATTAAAAAATCTTCTAATAAAGCTTCCAAAGATAAGGTCTTATGGTAAAATCCCTTCCTGAAGGCGCATATTTAGAAAGGCTTCTCATTTTTCCGACTGGGATTATCTTGATTGTACATAATGTTTGGTTGAATGAAAACATCACTCTCCAAAAACGCTCTGGGAAATCTGTATGCTGTTACAACAACGTCAACAATAACTTGAGACTAGATGATTTTGATTAGAACTATATTAGAGAAGGAAGCAAAGAAAGGAAAGAAATCATTTTTAAAAAACTTCAAAAAGAATTCGTCATAATATTTTTTTTATGTACCGCATAACTTTGGACCACGTTAATCGATTTTTACATTTTTTTTTTTTAAAGGAAACGTGGCAGCTCAGAGGTGCTCCCATACTAATTTTGCTTAGATCCGATCATTGGATCATAAAGAAATTAACGGTACCCTTGAATTTTTGTATGAGAATTGATGTCGGTTTTATTTTTTGCTAAAAATCACTTGTTATTTTGAATGATTGCAGAATTAAAAATATACATAGGTCCCCACCCTGAAAAAAGAAAAAAATTATGAAATTTTACTTACATACATTTTATGAATTAAAAAAGCAATTGTGCAGCTCTGATGCATATCATTATGAGAGTAGCATAACTAACGAACATTAGATTATTATTTAGATTATTATTTTTACTTTCAAAATTTATTTTGCCCTGCATTCTTTCAAAAAATAACAACTTTTAAATTAACTTTAGATCACTAGCAACAATTATTTACATATTTTCAATTCCCTATTAATTTCTACTGCAATCGCGAAAGATTTTTAGAAAGTACAAACATACATACAAAAGCTGTAATTATCAAGGAATGAAACCGAAACCCAAACCGAAACCGTAACCGTTTAAAAC